GCTTTCCCAGAAACGGTATCTTAGACCAGTCAAGCAGAAGTTACCTAGTGAGCACTACTGACATAATAGGCCTGACAGACCCCTGCCATCCCCTAAAGGGAAGTGACTTGCTGCAGCCAATCTGCTTTTTGCTCATGTAAATTCCTTGTTCCTGATCCCTTCTGCCTATAAAAGACTTTCATACTGTACAGCTCCTCAGAGCTCCTTTCTGTCTGCTAGATGGGATGCTGCCCAGTTCATGAATCACTGACTACAGCCAATAAAATCTTTAAAATTTACTCAGTCGAACTTTGTTTCTTAACATAGTGTTCGTGGAGCCTCTTCTTGCTCCCTTTACCCAACTCTCCCTTCCCCCCCAATGCCGACCCTAAAGGCTCTCCCTGTGTGCTGAACTCTCTCTGAAAGTCTGCTTCCCCAGGAACTCAGCCTGCAACAACTCTTAGTGCTGTTAAAGTTTATCTAAACTTTGCAGATTGCTGAGGAATTTTATCAGGAATGCTAGGATTTTTCCCAGAAAGAAGTTGAGAATGTAGCATACAAAAATGTTCCCTCCCACATCAAGGCTGAGACACTTTTCCTTGTGTAAGGTTTTAACTTTCTGGACATTTTTTCAATAGGGTATGCTCTTCATGGAGGCCCCTGGTTAGGACTCACCAGTATATAAGCCATCAGTGGGGGTGTGTAGAGGTACAGCCTAGAGGAGAGTAAATTCCTGTAGTACCTGCTCTGTGAATGACTAAAATGCACCACAGTCAGATTGCCCAATTAAATAAGTTTTTCTACAAGATTCTCTCACTTGTATTGATCTTTCTGGTTAAAAAGAGACATAGTATGTGGTGGTAGGGTGGGAAATCATTGAATATTTTGCTTTACTAAAGGCTTTTCACATGGTGTAGGAGTGGTAGTCAAAAGCGTGTATGACTTGACTATCAACTAATCATAAAGAATCCTGGTCCTAATGAAAGAGCAAAGTCTTGTAGGTACTCTCCCAGCAAAATAGGGTCTGGTGTTAGTCCTTTGAGTACTGGATATTAGGATGCATGGGGCAGGGATTCCTTTGGAAGAGAACTAATACGTCTAGGAAGCTTAGGACAGAAGCTAGTTACCAAACTGTAGTGAACTATTTTAATATTTTAACGATGGGTATGGTCTTGTGGGTGCCCACAAGCTGAATAGCAGGCTCATTTGTTATTTCGACAAGTGACTCCACTTATGACTTGAGCATTTTCCATCTCCAATGCTTTTACTTTACCCAAGGAGACAAACAAATTGCATTATATTGCTCTCAATGAATAGCTGAATCATATTTTCTTGGGCCTATTTGGGGAGATGAAGTGAGGCATACTTGGCTTGCAAATGTTAAACTCTAAATAGCACCAAAATTTTTCTGATTAAGTTTAAAACATTTTTTGATGAGATTTTTATTTCTTGGAAGACAGCATTGTTTTATTGAATCCTGACTTGACCATTACTTTAGTAAATGAAGGCTAAAGAGAAAAAAAAGTAATGAGATCTTCTTACATGTCATCCAGTGTTCATTTTGTTGTGATGTACATTTATTAAGATCATTTACTAGTCCCCATGATACGTGCTGTGGAAAATACAAAGATGAGTAAGACGCAGGTCCTGCCCTTTGGGGGATGCAGAAGGCGATATAATAGAGGAGCCTAAAGCAGGATAATGAGAAAGGACGAGTATCCAGAAGTGGTGAAAATCTGAGTCTGGACTACAGAGTGGGAGGAAAGGAGTATTCGGGGTATAAGTCTGGAAAGGTGGAGTGTTAGTCAAGATGCGTTCAATTGTAAGTGACAAAACAACTCAAACTACCTTGAGCAAACAGATCTAATTGGTACTATCAACTGTGAGGTCCAAGAGCATTCAATAAATAGGTGGCCCAATGGATTTGGGGTGGGTGATAATGATGTGGTCGTGTAAGTTCCTCAACTGTAACAAACATACTGCCCTGGTGCAGGATGTTGTGTGTGGGGGGGTGAAGGTTGGGCACCTATGGGGCAGGGAGTAAGTGGGAACTCTGTGCTTTCTGCTCAGTTCTGCTGTGAACCTAAAGCTGCTCTACAAAATAGTGTATTAAAGAACAAATGGTAGGGCTGCTGTTAGCAGGTAGTCTTTTGCATGGAGACGGGAACTTAAATATTTTAAACTTAGAGGAGCAAAAGGTCTCCTTCTGACCTAATGGAGGCCTAGGAGCCCACCACTGCCCAGCTGAGGCTGTTCTCAGCCTTTACTTTTTATCCCTTTTCTGGTATCATTCCCTTGGTTCTGTGCTGGGAATCTATTAATGATAGTGAGTAAATTCAGTCATCCTGCAAATGTGGCTTTTTAATGTATTTTATGCACCTTACCCCGTGCTTAATACATGGTTGGGGAAATGGCCAAGCATGAGTCCTGTCCTCAGACTTCATAGACTGGGATAGTTTTTCCAAAGGATAAAATTCTGAGGGAGGAAGAGACAAAGAAAGTTAATCAGCAGCTTGGGGCTGACATTAAAACTCTACCTTTATTCCCCAAACTTTCAATTAACTTTCAGGCAGCTATTTCAGCAATTATTTAGAAAAAATAGCTCACCACCAGATTCCACTTTATCCTGTTTACACGTGAACTTCCTGGAGCACGGCCCCCCACCAATCCAGAAACAAGTACTGCTTCATTGGGGACTATTCACCTATCCCAAAACTTTCCTGCTTCACCTTCTTCCGCTCTCCTAATGTATAGCTGCTGTTAATTCTTTCAAAACAACTTACATTTTCTTCCCCAAACTCATTGTATAGAAGAGCCCTGGCAACCCCAGGATAATGAACGTGATTGTCTTTTCCATCTAGCCCTGCTGCTGATGGCTTGGACTGTGTGCACCAGGACCTAGCTAGCACATGGCTCAATAAACTTTTTTTTTCTTTCAGTGCAACTTTTGGTCTCGAAGTTTTTGGTTGAACATCACCTATATTGGAAGCACTTTAAGCTGTTGGGAACCTTGCCCCAGGTCTCGTACTTCCCCGAAACGAGCACCTGGCCTTTAGCTAAGAACATTGAGGTTAGTCACAAGGCACAGTCCGTTGACTATCCCAACCTCTAATCAACAAGGACTCTCCAAATAACCTCCGGCTAGCCCCCGTGTGCATGCGCTCCACAAGGCAAGCAGCTACAGGCACATGAGGTGTCCACGAGTACAAGTTACACCCAAGTAACCAATAAGCGGGCCCTCCTTTGTCTTAAGCTAGCCAACAGCAAGCAGCCTAATCTCCTTCCTCTCCCTTCTTCCCTATATATATACCCAGTTCGGAAAAATAAAATTTGCAGCTTGATCAGAATCTTTTGTCTTGCTGCCATTCTTTGCGCCTCTTGTCCCCCCAACCCATTTGTTCTAGGTAGGTGGTCGAGCTCCAGTTGACTGCTCTGCAGGCCAGAGCATTAAGCCACTTGTTAAAATCACAGAATTCAACATCCTATCCATTGTAGACATACAGAATAAAAATCTGTGTTGTTTAATGACCTAAAATTTGCATTTTTAGTAAGCAACCAAGGGCCTTGGCACTCAAAATGTGGTATCACCCGATAGTTCATTAGAGGTGCAGAGGCCCTGTCACAGACCTCCTGAATGATAATCTGCATTTTAACAGGATCCCTACACATTAAATTGGAGAAGCATTATTTTAGAAGGTGCTCTTACATACTGACATTTGAGAATCACTAGTCTAGGAAGACTGATGAGCATATAGATGAATTTAGTACAATGTGATGAGTGCATTTAAAGAGGAACACATGTGTTCCTCTGGGTGTGCACAAACAGAACAGTTTCCTTTGCCAGAGGTTCCCAGGACAGGTGTGATGTCACTTGTTTCTTGAACAGCAAAGAAAAGTTGACCAGGCTAAAGGGATGGAGAAGGGCTGGGAGCTCTCATCAGAAGAAGCCACATGTACCAAAAAGGCCTGAGGCAGAAGAGGGCATTCTGCTTAGGGAACAAGAAACGCACCTTAAATTGCAGTGCTGGGTTTTGTTTTACACATTAAACTCTAAAGATCAACCAAAGAAGATACTTTTTTTTTCAAAATTTCAACAGTTAATGGTTTTCTTATTAACCTTTAAAGGGGAGAGGAAATCAGATTTTCAATTCCTATAACACTGCTTTCTCCAGCTTCCCTTGACAATTTTTTTTGCATTCATTTCTTCATTCAAACAAATGTAGATTGAGCTTTGTGCTTATTATGTGGTGGTGAGTAAAACGGAAATAGTCCCTGCCCTCAAGGAGTTTATACAATAGGGAAGGTGGAGTGGAGGTGAAAAAGCCAAGAAAATAGATAAATAAATAAATAAATAAATAAATAAATGTGTAATTATAAAATTGAGAAAATGGCTAGAAGTGTGTTGAAAAAGGCAAGTGACTTCAAGTGAGGTCTTCCAGAAAGATCACTATATCCTCTTGCCAGGTGGGCAGACTCACTGTGGGTGGGGTACAGTGGAGTCTTTCACTAAGGAGCACTCAGGTCACATACGAGTGTGTCTAGTTTGATGAGAATCCGAATGGGGGTTGAAGACCTGCCCTCAAAACCAACCATTCCCTTTCCACCTGCTGGCTGCAACATGAACTAGTAGTGAAAATAGATTTTCATTGCAACTTCAAACCTGAAAGCAGAAGCAATCTCCAAGTTCTAACAGGCCTGTTTTCAGAAAACTTACCTAATTCTCTTAGACAAGGTTGCTGCTAAAAACGGGTCCGGGCCCTTGTATGTTCCAAGTGAAATTTTCCAATTGCAAACATCATTTAGGTGTGGGGAGGAGCAAAGAGGAGACTGCCCGGCACACGCCATTGTTTTCAAAATGTGTGCAGTGAGAACTGTGTAAAAAAACAAAGAGGTAGGAGGCCTGGTGTGTGCAGCTGGGAGGCCCTGCCTGGCCCTCCGGTCCTTGGGCAGGGAAATCGTGTCTTCACCGCCTGGAACCTTGTGTGTGCGGGTCTCGCTTCCCGGCCTGCGGCGGGGAAGCGTTTAAGAGTGGGACCGTGAGAGGCGCCTGTAAACAGGGAGCCGGGCGGGGATGGTGCGCTGCTAGACCGGCTGTCATCGTGAGTCAGGCGGGTTCTTGAAGCCCGGTCCCAGCCAAGAGTAGACTGCAGGCCCAGCAAGTGAAGGGAAAGAAGCAGCCAGGGGCCAGGTGAGCATCTGCCCGCTTCTGCGCTACCTGGCTGACCAGTGGGGGAAGGGTGTGGGGATGACAGGGTTGTAAATATCTGAGAGGCGCCCTGGGGTGGCGGTGATGTTGCTGTTTGTTCCGCGCTCTGTTTTTGTTTCATTCTGGAGGCTGCATTACAATGCTGTGGATAATGGGTGAGGGGAAATTACATGATGCCTTGTCTGCCGATTTTTATGAATTAGGTATATAAATAGAAAGCCGTGTTCTTTATGTGCGTTGTTTTTAGTACCCCCAACCCCCTCCCCGCTTTCTCCCTTAGGTCCAAGAAGCCAAACCTCAGCACAGCTTTGAACTCACACCAATTGGGGCTCCCCGAGAAACAACTATTGTTCCTTCTGTTGACTCCGCTCATTTTTTAATGTACAGTAAATGACACTATGTAACTGATGACAAACATGATTTGGCCTTCTATCAGAGAATTACTAAGCCAAAAATTCAGGATAAGGAAATTTCAGACCCACTACTCAAACGAAGTAAGTTGCTACTGAGATATACAAATGAATGGCAAATTAAGACGGATCTAGATCTGTAGCTTGGGAAGCAGGACATGTTTGAATTTCCCAGATTAAACTGAGATTGAGCTATGTGCTGTTGTAAACTTATCTGGAAGTTTTTTCTCCTTTTCATTTTCCCTCTTTGGAATAGAGGAACACTTAGGACTTTTTCTATAATATTTTAATTTCAGCAGTCACAGTGAATTGTGATTTGTATTCATTCATAAGGTATTTTATTATAAAATACCACATGTAAGTTATAATGGGAGTACCTAAAATAAATACAAGGCAGTTTTTGTTTCATTAACTTCAAATGCCTTAACCATAATTAGGCTCGCAGGTCAACAGACATGTGGCACCTCTTAGTTAGTAGAAGAATATTGAATTAAATTACATGAGTATTTTAAAATTGTGTACATTAGGAAATACTTTTAATGTCCAATGAGTTTGTCTTTACAATGAATGTTTTCACAATGTCATGGTTAATAGCAAGAACTCCAAAGCCAGCCTGGGTCTGAATTCCTTCTTGGCCACTTCCTATTCTGTAATGTTGGACAGTTTACTTACTACGCTTCTTAATCTGTAGAATGAGGATAACAACAGTACTGATCGCATAGGATTGTTATGAGGATTAAATGTGCTAATATTTTTCAAGTGCTTAGTGCATGTAGTAATTGCTGTATGCAGGATTATTAATAAATACATAAGGCAAAAATATACCAGTGTTGAATGTAAGATGGTGGTTGCCAGGAGCCGAGGGGCGGAGCAGAATGGAGAATTGTTAAATGAGTACAGAGTTTCAGTTTTGCAGGGTGAAGAGTTCTAGAGATTGGTTGCGCAACAGTATGAATACACTTAAAGGTACTGAACTGTACAAGCTAAAATGGCTAGGATGGCAAATTTTATATAATGTATTTTATAAAATTTCCCCACAATTAAAAAAATGTTCAAGAGTACCAGTATTAGGAAAGTTATGCATTCAGAATCTTTATTTAGCACACAGCAGCCCCATCCACAGTTGCCTTTGCCATTGTGAAAAATGCAGCTCTGGCAGTCATCAGTAAGATTTGTTTGTTTGATAAATTCATGCAATTAAGATATCATAAAGAGCACATAAAAATTATACCAAAGAGCCTGTGGCAGGCACAATTCTAAAAGTGCCCCTATACTGAGATAGCATGCCCTAATTCCTGGAACCTGTAGTGTGATAAACATCTCTTGATCTATGTGTTGTAGAACACAGTTAAACTTAGGATGGGAAAATGATCTGGGTTGGCCTATTGTAATCACAGGAGTCCATAAACCAGGAGTATTTTCTTTGCCTGGGCAAATCAGAGAGATTTGAAGCCTGAGAAGGACTGAACATGCTGTTGCTGTTTCGAAGATGGAGAGGACACTTGGAGAGGAACAAGGGCTACCTTGAAAAATGTGGGAGGCCTGGAGTTGCTGGAGGTGGCCCAGCACAGACACTGGAGTCTCAGACCTCGGGCCACGGATGACTGGAGTCTGCCAGCACAGTGAATGAGCTTAGAGCTGGATTCCGTTGTGGAGCCTGTTGTTAAGAGCGCCTCTTGGCCAGCACCTCGATTTCAGCCTTGTGAAAGAGACCCTGAGACGAGAATGCAGCCAAGCCCACCTAGACTCAGACCTTCAGAATTACGAAATACAAAGTGGGTGCTGTTGTAAGCTACTAAGTTTGTGCAAATGTGTTACATAGCAATAGAAAAATGGGCAAAAGACAGGAACAGACTATCCAGAGAAGAGGAAGTAAATGGATGAAGAGACATATGAAAATGCGTTTTCTCACCATTAGTCAAAGAAATGGAACTGAAGCAATAGCAAGGTGCATTTTTCCAGCTTTCAGTGTTACACAGATTTTTAAAAATTATAACTCCACTTTAGTAAGTGTACAAACACTCTCAAATGCTATGAGGGGTGTGCAAATGTTATAACCTTTCTGAAAAGCTCATTGGCTTAATGTATGAAAAACCTCACTAATGCTCCTATCTCTTGATCCAGTACTTTGACTTCTAGCAATCTATTCAAAGGAACATGAGAAATATTTAAAAAATAATGTTCGCAGATTTTTAAATGGTTTTGGTTGGAGAAGTCAGATATTGGCAATAGTCTGAGTGCCCAACAACAGGGGAATAGTTTAAAATAAATTATGGTATCATCAAAAGATGTGGAGTTAGAGAGACATGTAAAAGCATATTTATGAAGAATTTTAACCGTGGAACAGTGTTTATCAATTATTGTTAAATGGTGGACAAACAGGGTAGGGAACTGTATTTACAGTATGTGCTCCCCCGGGTTTGAAAATCACAGCTCTGCCTACATAGGAAGGGGCCAGAAGGGCCAAAGCGTGGCAGTGCTTTTCCCATGGAAGGGTGAATAGGCATCATTTATTTTATCCTGCACACTTTTCTGTGTTTTCAAAATGGTAAACAATGAACTTGTAGTAGTTGTTTATCTTCACAATAGTCCATGACCATTATTTTGAAAGCTGTTAAGTCTCAGTGCTTGGGGAATAGGGTGAATTTGAAACACTGTCCAGTCAAATAATGGAGAAAAAAATCCATTGAGTAACTTAAATGGTTGGCAGAAAGTGATTTTTTTAGGAAAACAATGAGATAGGAAATGATATGAGGTCTGTGCAGAAGGTATCCAGCCAATTAATATGAAAAATAGATACATTTATTGAAGAAAATACAAGAACATTGTACATAGGACAATGACACCTCAGTTTCCTTCAAAGTAGGCACCTTAAGACCTCACACAGTTCTCCCAATCTCCCAGTCAGGTGCCCCATCATGTTTTCCTGAATCTCATCGACAGTCTGAAATCTCTTCTCTTTCAAAGGTGATTTTAGTTTTGGGAAAAGCCAGAAGTCACAGGGTGCCAAGTGTGGGCTGTGGAGGGGCTGAGTCACCTGGGTGATTTGATGTTTTGACAAAAAAACTCTGCATGAGATGTGATGCATGAGGGGGCGCATTGTTATAATGAAGCTGCCAGTCACCAGTTGCCCATAGTGCGGCCTTCTGAATCATCTGAATAGTTTCTGCAGAGGAATGTTCAAGCTTAATGCAAAATTTGATGCAGATTTGTTGCTCTACTCCCTCGGTCATTTTGAATGCAATGGCCATACAGTACACATGCTCACCCAGTGGCGTCTACCACCCCCACTGACTAGTACAGTGAAGTCGTCATCAATCGCGCATGCAGATTTCAGTCCACTCTCACTGGCTGCCAGGTTACATCGATGTCATACAAATCACTCTCCTTATATTAACAATGGCTGGACTTTTTCTGGACAGACCTCATAAATATTATTGGAAATGTTGAAAATAAAGTCAGGTACTTATCTCTTGACAGGATAATCAGTGAAAGCTTTGTGGTAGAAAAAAAATCACTGAATATTATACTGAAATAATAGGAAAAGAAGGTGCGTGGTAGAATTTTTATTAAAAGGCTTTGTTTTTTCATAGATTGATGGGTTATAGGCTTTGCACTATTGACCTTAGTTACCTATACGAGGGGAAAATAAAGAACTATGATGGGTATGTAACCATTTGCAAAAAACAAAACAAAGCAAAAATCCTGCATGTTATGACCATGAAAACCAAGTTGGACCTAGGCCAGTAACATGTGCATTAAAAAACGTCCAAAGGTAATATTTTATCAGATACTTGATGTACTCTATTCCTGTTTAATGATGTAATGATGTGTATAGCCTAGTACTTGAAGCCAAGTCATTTACACATTGAGAAGCAGGTAGGTAGATGGGCGCTACTTTTTTTTTAATTAAAAAAAATGTATTTATTTATTTTTAGAGAGAGGAAAGGGAGAGAGAAAAAGAAACATCAATGTGTGGTTGCTTCTCACATGGCCCCACTAGAGACCAGGCCCTCAACCCAGGCATGTGACCTGACTGGGAATCGAACTAGTGACCCTTTGGTTCATAGCCTGTGCTCAATCCACTGAGCTATACCAGCCAGGGTGATGGGTGCTCCTTTAAGTACTAGCTTTAGGAGACCTGATTTTAACAGAAATCTTGGGCAGATTTTTTTTATGATACTCCATCTCTAGACAGTTTCCAGGAGCACCAGGCCCCAGCTACTCCTTCATTTTTCCCACTGGCTCCCTTACCTACTTTCAGTTTATTCTAACCTCTCACACCCCTAGAAAGTACACAAAGTGTGTTGCCCTAAGGGCTTTTAGGCCAAATGCCGATTTTCTGCATGGGGAATGTTAACCCCTTAAAAGAAACCATTTGGAGGAATATCTAGGATGTAGTTCCTTTTTTCTTTTAGAGTGGATTTTGTATTTGGTTCATAAGCTTGGAGCTAAATAATTCAGAGGACTGAGAATGTGATAAAAATGACCCCTGGCAGTGAATTCCATGCATCGTGTTTGTTCTATTTCATTGGCTACTGTAGATATTCCAGACAGGCAATAAAAAGTTCA